CGCCCAAACACCCCTACTTTTTGTATTTTTATTTTTTTCATTGTCTTATTTCATAAAATAACTGCATCTTTTGAAAGCTCTCCTGTCAACAACCAATATTATTCTCTAATCTTTTCCTAGTTTACTAATAGCTGAAATTCACTTAGTGTTGGAAAGGAAAATGAAAAACATTAAACCTTTTTAGTCTTTGGATAACTCAAAAACTCTAATTCTGATCAGATCCAACAGATGGCAGTGATGTTATAAATTAACAGCTTAAAATAGTCTTGTAATATGTGGAATCTGCCCCTCAGAAGAATGTCACCAAGAATAATTTTCTCAGTATTCGCATAAATAATGTCCAACTTTGATGTGAATAATTGGACAGAAGAACACAAGGTGAGTATCACATGAAATTTCACTGAGATTGTATTTATTTCTTCTATCAAAACCCAACTGCTTTCTCCTCTCCAAGCAGTGTTACAGATTGAGAATTGGCAGTGAATGAAGAAAGGGTAAGTGTCCAGAGTGACTTAATGGGTTACAGTTTCATATAAAATTCACTTGCTCTTTGGTTTCTGTGTTCAGCTATTTCTTCCTACGAAGGTTATCTCAGCCTTCTCACGTTTGATTTATTCATTCAAAAATCATTTTACTTTTCTTTCTCCTTCTATCAATTTAAATAAGCAAATCTGGCTAGGGACGCCTGGGTGGCTCTGTCGGTTAAGAGCCGACTCCTGGGTTCGGCTCAGGTCATGATTTCACATATCTTGAGAATGAGCCCCACATTGGGCTCTGGGCTCTGTGCTGGCCCTAACGGAGCCTGTTTCCGACTCTCTCCCTTTCCCTCTCTCTCCGCCCCTCCCCTGTTCTGTGCTCGTGCTCGCGCCCTCTCTCTCTCTCTCTCTCAAAATAAATAAACGTTAAATAAAACAGTTAATCTGGCTGTTCCTGTCCTTTTTTCCCTCTGCCTTCAAACTGATATTTTTTTAGATGTCTGTTTATTTTTGGGAGAGAGAGACTGTGTGTACAGAAGACAGAGGGTCAAAAGAAGTTTCTGCATTGTCAGCACAGAGCCCAACAGGGGCCTTGAATTCACCAACCACAAGATCAGGATGAGCCGAAGTCAGCCACTCAACAGCTGAGCCACCCAGGGGCTCCTCAAATGGTTAATTTTATTTGTGTTCATGGCCTCGTCATATTTGTATCCACTTTAAGAGAACTTTACCCTACAGATAATAAAGAAGCAAAAGTATGAATAGAAACTCTTAGAGCTGAGAGTCCACTGTTGCTTCTGTGATCTAAATTATGTCAAACCACAGCAAAACCAGCGATCACTTTCTGTTCTAAGTGATGGGCATTGGTTGCTGTGAGACCTTCTGTTTTTCCACTGTTCTCTCACTTTCCATGGTATTTTTTTGTACATCCACTTTCCCCCAGTCAAAAATCCATTGGTACAAAAAGGAAATTATGCCAGCATTACATGTAATCGTAACACACCAGAGATTACTCAGTGCATGAAAGAGGCCTCTAACTCTAGAAGGTACTCTAACTTCTAAGAATTAGAACTCCAGGGTGCCTGGGTGGCACAGTCGGTTGAGCATGTGACTCTCAATCTCACAGTTTGTGAGTTTGAGCCCAACATTGGGCTCTGCACTGGCAGCCTGCTTGAGATTCTCTCTCTCTGCCCCTCCCCTACTCCCTCTCAAAATAAACAAACATACATAATAAAAAAACTTTTAAAAAATTAGAAATCCACTTTAGACACAGTGAGATATGAATGTCAGAGAAGAGGTTGTCTTATAACAAACAATGCTTAATTGCAAATTTCCCTTTTGAATCAGACTAGCGATGATCAGGCATCCAAACAGTTACCCAGTGCACCTTCCAAATAATGGAAGGCATTATTTGCCTTCTCCCACTACTTAGGTGTGGCAGAAAAGCAACATTCTTTCTACCCTACAATCCTGCCACCCCAGCCACAGAGCCACAGCTCAGGACTCCCCCCTCCCGCCTCTCCCTTCCCCCATGCCCTTCCCCTCCCCCGCCACAGCTAGGAAAGGTGAGCAGAGGCCCTGCTGCTAAAACCTGATGCTAGAAATACTCACAATGCAGACTTTAAGCTAATATGTTTTTAAAGGCAATCTGAGTAGAAAACACTTTAGATTCAAAATAATCAATCATGCCTGTTGTCTCGTCTCTTGGGGTTCGAATTAACGCCCTAGGAGGCTCGCTAGAAGGATGGGCAAGGTGGCCTATTTGTCTTCATTCCTTTTGGTTGACTGCAGAGTCTTTGCCAACTCCAGTCTTCAGCATTTGGCATAAGTATGTTAAATCTGACTCCATTTCCTCCTCAAAAACATTCATTTTCAGTATCTTTTAGCTCAAAAAGCCCAGAGAAAAAGTATATAGGTCTCAAGAGAGACAGATATCTGTATTCATGAGAGATATCTCAAGAGACAAGCATTTTCATTCACATCCATTTCCCAAACCAAACACATATTGAAAAAAAAGTGATCAGAATGGACAGTATATAATAGGCTAAAGAAATAACTGCCATTAAAAATGTATAGAAATAAAAATCAATTACAAAACTAAAGAGATGTGTGGCATCATTTGGTCTTAATTGACCTTGCTATGTTGACACCAAGGAACCAGAGAGTGGGATGACAGAATTCTGTGTAATAGATGATTGAATTGCAAGAGAAAATCGGAAGGAGCCTCTTTCAGAAGCTATTTAACATCCTAATTTTCTATGATTTTATATAAAACTGTGAAATTACATAAGCCAGGCAAACTCACATCAAACTAAGACATCTATACACTCTGGAGGCCTATTAAAGTATTTTAGATAATATATAAATCTAAATGCACCCGAGATAGAAGTATTTTAGTGTCACTGGTAAGACTTTTCACCGGCATCACTATCCTGCAACGGTCCCTAAATATGTGATTTTCAAATTGCTACTTATTATGACTCGCTATTCTAGAAATTTGTGTACTTTCACATAGATAATGATGACCCTGAATTTAGGAAATTACTATGTCAAAGACTGTAACTATTAAAGGAATACAATTTTGTTCTGATGCTTACCCATTTGGGCTGTATTTTAATCGGGCATTGTTAGGTTTTTAGTCATTCCATTAAGGTCTCATAAAATATTTGTGTGGGAGTAGACAAAGGGAAAGAAAGGGTAAAAAGGGTAAGAAATAGATTAAGTATACAATGGAGGTAGAGGAAGATGTTTTTCAAGTTAGAAAAGAGTAATTTTAGCCACAATGCTGCAAAACAAAAATACACAAAGGTTAATAACTGACATATTGTGATGGTGGATTTTATGTGTCAACTCGACTGGGCTAAACAATCCTCAGATAGCTGGTAAAATGTTATTTTTGAGTGCATCTGTGAGGCTGTTTCTGGAAGAGGTTAGCATTTGAATCAGTAGACTGAGTAAAGGTGGCCCTCACCAACGTGGATGGGCATCATCTAATCCGTTCAGAATCCAAATCGAATGAAAAGGTGGAAGGGTGACTTGCTGTCTGCAGAAGCTGGAACATTCGTCTTTTCCTGCCCTGGGACACTGGCCAGGCTTTCATATTCCCACTAAATTACACCATCATCTTTCCTGGTTCCCCGGTTTACAGACAGCAGATCATAAAGCTTCTTGGCTGCCATAATCACATAAGCCGGTTCCTATAATAAATGTCCTCGTATATGTAGATTACATCCTCTTGGTTCTAATTCTCTAGAGAATCCTGACTAACAAACATACCAAATAAGATATAGGGAGGGTAAATAATTATTTTATTTATGAAAGTTGCCTTCAAGAAATTCTCACGATCTTCTAGATCTTTCAGAAGGCGATCTTCTGTAGAGGCAAGAACACAGATTCGGGAGGCCAGCAGTCCTGGATTTCATTTTCAGCTCAGCCACTTTAATAAATATGTGGACCCAGGAAAAATAGGTAACCTTGCAGAGCCTTGGTTTCCTCATTTGCTGACAGGTTATCTTGATAATTAAAGTTTAGAATGAATATAGATCACATACCACAGGGCTTGGAATATACAGGGCATTCCTTTTCCAATCTTTCCTCATAGTATTTACCCATAAAAATCTATTGTTTTCTTTAAAAAAAAAACTTTTTAAAATTTTTTTATGTTTTTTATTGAGATAGACACAGAGCACGAGTGGGGGAAGGGCAGAGAGAGAGGGAGACACAGAATCCGAAGCAGGCTCCAGGCTCTGAGCTGTCAGTACAGAGCATGATGCAGGGCTCGAACCCACGAACGTGAGATCATGACCTGAGCTGAACTCAGATACTTAACCGACTGAGCCACCCAGGCGCCCCAAAAATATATTGTTTTCAACTGACTCTTTAAAATGTTTCTAGATTTACCTAATATTTATGTCCCTTTACAATGGATCTTTTAGTGGTGCCTGGGTGGCTCAGTTGGTCAAGCGCCCGACTTCAGCTCAGCTCATCATCTCAACAGCTCCTTAGTTCTAGCCTGGAGTCGGGCTCCGTGCTGACAGCTCAGAGCTTGGAGCCTGCTTTAGATTTGGATTCTGTGTTTCCCTCTCTCTCTCTCTCTCTCTCTCTCTCTCTGTCTGCCCCTCCCACACTTGTGCTCTTTTTCTCTCTCTCAAAAATAAATAAACTTTAAAAAATAAATAAAATGGAGCTTTTAATTTTTTTCTAGATTTATCCAATGTTTAGGCAAAGTTGCCTTTAATATTTCTAGCACCATCCAGTTTCATTTCTTCCAGAATCTTCCACAAAAGTTAGACTGTTAGCTGAATCAAATGGCTCACACATTTTTCCAATCAGCCCAGAACTGTCAAGATTTTGTAATATCTTTGAAAATCAGAGCTATCAGATGACTCTTACTTTCATAAGGGTGCCTGCGGTACCCAAGAGAGAACATCTGAAATAATACATAAACTGCCTTGAAAGCCAAAGTAGTACAATTAGAACACCTTGGGCTGTTAGATACCCCCAAACAAGTTTCTCCTTACGTACTTGGCGTTGGCGGTATTGCACGTGGTTAGATTGGCCAGGGCGAGGGAGGCAGCTTCTCTCACTTCTTCATTGTCACCCTTGAGTAGCAGGATTAACTGCGGAATCCCTGCAGAAAAGGAAAGGGAAAGATGTGGTCTTGTGAACATCCAGCACCTACAGTTGGGGGCCTAAAAATGTTCCAGATCGTTTCTTCTGGTTTGCTTACCCTGGTTATTGAAAAATTCCTTGCTGCCTGAATTCTCACACATTGCCGAAATAGCCTGGGAAGCAGCAATTTTAGTTCCATCGTTTTCAGAACCCAAAAGGGCCACCAGGCATTTTTCAACCTCTTGTTCGTGAAAAAGTTTTCTAATTTCAGCTTTTGTAAATCAAAAGGGAAAAAAAAAAATCAGGATTTTGCCATCAAAACTGTGCACAGGGAACTACTTCCTCATCTAAACCAAACTATTTCTTAGCCTCAGTCACAAAGCCACTACACTAAATAAAATATACACCCATTGAACCTTTAGAACACAGTGACTATGCAAAGTAATTTATGAATATTGGAATTTATTTTTGTCTTCCCTTGTAAGATATCTGTACCACGGCAAAGAAAATTCTACAATAAGAAAGAGGCCAGTTTCAGATCTAGCGAGAACTTATTTGACACCAGTCATGGGGCTGCGTCCACACATGCTGTCTTCTCACTAAGGACAAAACCCTGTTTGGGGGACCTGAGGGGCTCAGTTGGTTAAGTGTCTGACTCTAGATTTGGGCTCAGGTCATGATCTCCCAGTCGTGAGTTCGAGCCCGCACTGGGCTCTAGGCTGGTAGTGTGGACCCTGCTTGGGGTTCTCTCTCTCCCTCTCACTCTGCCCCTCCCCAGCTCTCTCTTTCTCTCAAAGTAAATAAAAACTTTTTAAAAAGGGACACAACCCTGTTTATTTGATGTTTATTTTAAATACAAAACTCAATATTTGAAGAATGCCTAAGACATACAAACCTGTGTGCTAGATGCTCAAGAGAAAAGGAGAGAAGAGGAAAAAGTAAAAGTGAGTAATGGAGTATGATCCTAAGTCTTTGGGATTTATAATCTTACATCAAAAAAAAATCATAATCATTTTTTATCAAGTTATAATACATGCTGTTGTAGCAAAAATTACAATAAATATTTAATTGCTAAATTACCATTGGTATAATCTAAACATACATTAGCATCGTTTTCTTTATTTGAAAACAAATAAAATTATGACTCTAAGAACATAGCCTATTCATCCCATTATAAAACACTTAATTAAAAGTCAAAGTATTTGTAATGTTCCTTTTGTTCCCTAATGTTTTTCTCTTGATTTCCTTTCATTTGTTTTGTAATAAATGACAACCTCATTACTATAGTAAGCAAGCTCTGCATTAAACTAAATTAGAACATTAAAACCTCATTTTTTTGTTTTATGTTCTATAGCTATTTTTTTATTTTAATTTTTATTATTTTAATTTTCTTATTTTGAAAGAGATTGTGCACACAAGTGGGGTAGAAGGGCAGAGGGAGAGAGAGAGAGAGAATCTTAAGAGAGAATCTCAGTGCTATCAGGGCAGAGCCCGATGCAGGGCTTGATCTCACAAACCGTGAGACTGGGACCCGAGCCGAAATCAAGAGTCACACGCTCAACCGACTGAGCCACCCAGGCACCCCACTCTTTATTAAAGGCATGTACTAGAAGAAAAGATACAGTAAACCAAACTCAATTTTAATGCTATAAGAGGTACCAGAGACTAGTTTGAAAAGAACCAGTTTATAAACCATTCTTTGCTAATTTGTTTACAGTCCTTCAAACAGCTTCATCATAGGTTTGACTTTCTATTACCCTTTGAAGTCAATGTATATGATTAAAATAGAAGAACATGTGAGATATGTTCTTAGGATGTGGAACTGATTCATCATTTACATATATTATAATCCACTTGTGTTTCTAGGACTATTCTCAGAAATTATCGTACCTGCTTTTCCACTTTAAAGCTAATATAGGATTTCTCTCTTCTTTTAATCGTGAGTTTTTTTCAAATCGCCCCCCTTCTCGCAAAAGAGGAAACACACTCAGATGTCGCCATCTTTGCAATCATTTTGGCCTTTGTTCATTCCATACACTGCAACCTGGTCATAACCGCGCTGGCTACATCACTAACACTCTTCATTCGTCTTAAACCAATTATGCACCATGTCCTGTAATCCTATCATTTTAATCCCTTGCTCCTTTCATTTAAAATGGGAATTCAGGCAGGTCGAGACTGTTTTATTTTTTTTAAATGGTGAGATTAATACTTAAATCTCAAGTTTGTGGCTTCTGAAAGGTTTTCAAATATATGGAGTCCTGATGAGTATCCCCTGAATAAAATAGATCTGAAACTCTTGTAGAGTCTTTGACCTAAAATGCTTCGATTTATAATTAAGATTTCCCCGATAGCTCTAAATCAACTTTACTAAACAGAACACTCTGAGCGTAAATTCTACCAGGAAAGTCGGCCAGAAGAATTAATTTGTAAAGATTAACTTTGGAGTGTGTGGTTGTTGCATTCAAAAAGCAGTATATATGCGATTATTGGAAAGATTTTTTTTAAAAAAAAATAATCTAAACACCCTGGGCAATTAGTTTCTCAACCCTGCTGGGAGTGTTCTCAAAATCCAGCTGTGTTCACCAAACCTCAAAAGTGCTGACTGCGGTGTGGCTATAATAGATTTAAAAGATGAATTAACATATTAACCAAGTACCTTCATTGAACTGCTACACCAAGAAGTAAAGTATTTATGTTTTAATTACACAGATAATAAAGATGGCAAGGTGATTATGCTACAAATAGAGTAACGTCCTTTAAAAATAACGTCCGTGCAGTATCACTAAAATAAAAAGCGTGAGGCTTTGTAACTGGAAATAAATCTGCACGTAATGATGCTTTTCTTCGCCCGCTCTCGGAAGTTTCTATTGCACCACCTTTGCTCCTGCTGAGATGTTAATGCCAGTTCATAAACCTCATGGCAACGTGGTAATTAACACCTTCCTACTCCTGGTCTGAGGTCAAAAACAGACGCATCTGGGCTTTCTATGGTGGGGACAGGGGACGGGGACACATGGTAAAAAGTACTCAACAAACAAAACTTGAAGAATGTGTAGTATAGGCACATTGGATTTAGGCTCACGGTTTGTGGGTTTGAGCCCCGTGTCTGGCTCTGTGCTGACAGCTCAGATCCTGGAGCCTGCTTTGGATTCTGTGTCTTCCTTTCTCTGCCCCTCCCCTGCTCCCACTCTCTCTCTCTCTCTCTCAAAAATAAATAAACCTTAAAAAATTTTTTTAAAGAAGATGCATTATGTGTTTGTGTGTTTCAACTGTGTTTTTGACATGCAATGACAATGCATTCCCTAACCTGCAAAAAATTTTTGATGATGAAAAGTAAGAGGGGTGCCTGGGTGGCTCAGTCGGTTAAAGCATCTGACTTCGGCTCAGGTCACAATCTCGTGGTTTGTGGGTTCGAGCCCCGCGTCAGGCTCTGTACTGACGGCTAGCTCAGAGCCTGGAGTCTGTTTCAGATTCTGTGTCTCCCTCTCTCTCTGGCTCTCTCCTGCTCACGCTGTCTCTCTCTCTCTCTCAGAAATAAATAAAAACATTAAAAAAATTTTTTAAAGAAAAAATGTAAGAGAGTCATACATGAATCTGAAGGTTACGTTATTCTTAATAATAGGATAAGGAACAATATTTGTTAAAACCTACTTATAAATAAGTGGAGTTTTTGAACTGTGCAAATATCTTCTCTCATTCAGTAGGTTATCTTTTAGTCGTGTTGATTGTTCCCTTTGCTGTGCAGAAGCTTTTCATTTTGATGTAGTCCCAATAGCTTATTTTTGCTTTTGTTTCCCTTGCCTCAGGAGACATATCTAGAAACATGTGGCTAGGGCTGATGTCAGAGAAATTATTGCCTGTGCTCTCTTCTGGGATTTTTCTAACTGTGGAAAATTATTTTGAGACTTCGTGATTGTTTACTTCCAATCTGGAAATATTAAGAGAGAAATTTGTTAATCTGTATTAAGTTTTTAGAGTTTCTCATTGTCACTGATTAATGTAAAATAAAGCACCCTAGATCTGTCTGGGTCTGGTAGAGAGAAGTCAAGGCAGGCAACATTTGGCACAAGAAGGGGTAGACAAGAAACACAGGTAGGGTTTGAAAAGAAGGCACAGTATAGAAGTGAGGCAGGGAAGAGGGGGTGGTTATTGTCGATCTGGCTAAGTAAACAGCATAAGGAGGTAAACAAATAACAAACAGAAGAGATAATCAGGTAAATGGTGTGGCTATAACATTTAGGAGTTGGGAAGTCGATGTCAACTCCTATGAGGACTGTTTTGGCAGAATGGGAGAAGTTGAAGTCACATGTGCTTGGTCGAGGGGTGGAGATGAGATGAAGAGGTGGCGTTACTTAAAATTAACTAGTCTTTCCAGGAAGTTGATTGAGAAGAAAAGGGAAAAAAGGGTGGGGGAGGTGCTTGGTCAGGGACAAGTCAGGAAGAAATACATTTCTATAAACTACTGCTGGTCAATGAACAATTAAGGTCTCCTCAGAATGTTCTAAATTTGTATCAGGTTTCTCCTACGTAACCAGTGGGACCAGGAGAAAACAGCACATCAGCATTGGAATGCCACATTAGGGGGTAAGCCTCCTCATCATCCAAAACTCAGCTAAAGGATTCGATTCTACCGCCATCTCAACAGGTGGGGTAGATAGGCAAAGGGCATCCTGCCAGTCTCGTCTGTTTATTATAATGAGGTCTCCTCGTTCTATGGTGAAGAAAACATCAAAACATGAAAAACCAAAATTATGAGTGTATAATAGGTATGGAAGAAAGAGAACAGAGCCGTGCTAAAATAATAAATGTCCCTGGGGAAAATATTAAATAAAACAAAGGCAATAACCAAAAGTATAATAGAAAAAAAAGTTTCCTAAGTTAGAAAACAAACAAACAAACAAAACCCCCAAAACATGATACAGTAGATCACCAGACTTTCTTACGTTTCAGGCAGAGAGAGAGTGAGTGTGGATATGTGTGTCAGACACATTTTGACAATTTTTTTTAACTTATAGGATAAAGGATTTTACACAAATGCAAGAAGAAAACATTGCATATAAAGGAGAATGGAAATCAGACTGCCCTTAGATTCACATGTTACAAAAACAAGGTTTGTAGAAAATTAGAGAAAATGCTATGATGTAAGAGTTCTGAACCCAGCCAAACTGTCCTACGTGTTTGAAGGCAACAAACAGTTACAGTGAAGGTCCCAAAAAATACACCACTCTTGACTGTTCCTGAATACATTTTTTAACTGAAAAAATATAT